ACACAGTCAGCAACAACAACAAAAAATATATAGCACTTAAACTATGTCGCACTGAAAAACCTACAACTGAAATTACCAGTAAGTCTGCACTGTCACAGATTTAATGAGCCACTGCTGCACAAATCACAATAGATCTGAACAGTTCCTCTATTTAAACTAAAAAATAAAATATATTTATGGACCATATTAAGTTAAAGTGTCAAAGCAATGAGAGAGAAAAGGTTAGGATTTAAAAAAAAAAAAATACCAGCAAGCAAAATAAACAATACAAATTTTATTCATGTATGAACATTTTATTTTAACATCACAAAGAGCAACTATTTAGTAATGGGCTTAAAACGTTCCTAAAATCTGCAGCAACCATGCAGGTGTTTGCTATAGACGTCAAAATGAAGATGAAAGTATGAAACAACTGCATAAGTCAACGACAGCTATAGGAATCTTTACAAACCATTTGGACTGAAAGTTACACAAATTTACATTTAGTAAAAGTGGAAGTTCATTGACTTTATAACAAATCTGCAGCATCATCATTTTGTTTGTTTGTTTGTTTTTCTCTCAGCTGCCTACTTTTGCAGGAGCGTCAGCAGCAAACAAACTCCCTGGAAAGATTTGACAATTGTATTTTGCTGCAGACACAAGCTGGGTTCGAACCTGCAGCCTGAGGATTACAAGACGCCTGCACTGAGCACCAACAGCCCCCAAACATCATCGACACAGATCGAAACAAATCAAAACTCTTTGCAGCATGGGCTTGCAGCTTACTGTAAATAAGAAAAGACATCATTTGAAAAACATATTTTCTTTCAATAAAAGCACTATATTTTGGGGCCCTTGTTGCCCTGAGCTACACATTTTGGTCTGGTATTCCTAACTTTTGTGAGGTCAAATAAACTGCTAATAACTAAATCAATAAATAATGATAACACAACCACAATGCTAGTTTGATCAGTTACTAAAACCTACAATGTTATTATTTGTAACAGTGATGACAAAATTGCGCCAATCTCATTTGTGATATCTGGAGCTCATGTGAAGACCCCATTTTGTGTTTCCTGACGGGGGGGGGGGGGGGGGGGTCCCCCAGGCTCACATCAGTTGCAGACGGTGAGTTTTTACAAATGTGAACGTCACTTTTTAGTTCTCTTTGTGTTGAAATAAAGAGTTGGAACATTTACAGTTATGCGTCACCTGTGTGGTTTGGTCGTCACTCCTCTGTGTTTTGTCGACTGACCTTTGACCTTCCTCATCGTCTGACGCATTTGCGACTTCTTCACCAAGACTGTCCCTTTAACGTTCATGTGGCAGCAGATTGCGGCCGATGCCCGCGTGTTCACGTGCAAAGAGAAGAGACTGTTTGTCAGAGGGATACTTATTGCCGTCTCCTAAACCCATCGTCTGTGGCAGGAGAGCCACTGCTGCCTCGTGTCACTCCATCTCGCCGTCACCTTGGCAACGGCTGCCGAGGTGAACCACCATCTGGGGCAGCCGACCTCTCCATCGCCCTGCCGCTCCGGCTGGTCTGGTGCGGAGTGTCTCACCGCATGAAGAGGCTCTCGGACTCACCAGTACCAGGCCCGGTCAGACCCAGTGGGGGTCAGAGTGGATTTAAAGGGTAGAAATGAGGAGATCTGGGGCAGGTTGTGATTTATTTATTTTGTATTTGAATGGGACATATCAAAATAATTGATTTAATAATCAAGCTGTTATGAGGTGAACTTTAAAACTATTCCATCACCAGTTTCACCTGTTTTTGTCTTTGTTTACTTCTTCATAAGAAAAAAGTTGTATCAGAACTGTTTGTGTTTGTTGAACTTAAACGTTCAAACTGAACATAACTTTTAAGAGCTGGACGTTTAAGACCCCCTTTGTTTGACTTTATGTTGTTTTTTTTCTTATAATATTTAAAATTTTACGCTAAAACATCAAACATCCACTTTGACTGTTCTAGAAAAAGTTCATTTTTAAAAAGTGTAATAAATATTTTATTGGATTTAAATCTAAGTAGTTTTGACTGATACATTGTGTGTGTGTGTGTGTGTGTGTGTGTGTGTGTGTGTGTGTCAATAAAAAAGACGATTGTCTCAAATCTTAATTTTATGCCAATTTTATTAAATAATTATTCTTCCATGAAAAAGAACAAAGAAAAATAATAAATAGCTCGTTACACAAGAATAAACAGACTTTTACATGAACTTGAGAGAAATTGTGCTGATTTTTTTAAAAGGGGGGGGGGGGGGGCACACAGCTGGAAATCATTTCTTGACCATGATTTGTGCTGCAGCTTAAATCCACCAACACACAACACAAAATATAAGAAACGCAACAGAAGGGAAATGCATCAATTATTGCTAAGGATGAAAAACATGTTCAGGCTTCAGCCCTGGTCTGATCCTGCAGCATTACAGAGGAACTGTTTACAGTACAGAGAAGTTTTGCTGAACATCTGGGCTTAACTGGAATGGATTTTTCTTTTGAACTTGTAATTTCTTAATGAACAAGTTTCAACAGATTTTTTTATTTATTTAAAATCGACCGTTCCAGAGGTTGTTATAGTGAAGATAAAATACCCAAAGATGCTTACAGGTGCAAAAGTCGATTGTCCCAGTCTGTTCTGGTGGATGGATCATATAAAAATGATCAGCAGGAGTTCTGATCAGGAAAATATTTGTCTAAAAACAAAATAAACGAGACCCTTCATGTTTTTGAGCTTTTCCTTGCCCCTTCAGGTCTGTTTGTTTTCACGTGTCGTACATCCTCTTACACTCTATGGAGGGGGAGGGTGTGTCGGGTCCCATGCTTCCCACCTGAGAGTACGCGTCTTCGGGGGTGCGCGGGAGTCCAGGCGGCGTCATGCGCTTCTCCTTCTGTCTGCGGTTGCAGAACCAGACCCGGACCACCTCCTTCTCCAGCTGCAGGGTGTCCGCCAGGGAGTTGATCTCCTGCGCGGACGGTTTGGGACACTTCAGGAAGTGGCTCTCGAGCGCGCCCTTCACGCTCACCTCGATGGACGTGCGCTTCTTCCTCTTCCTCCCCTGCGTGGCGATCTTATCGATGCTGGTCGGGCTCCCGGTGGTGGAGTCGGCCTCCTCCAGCCATTTGTTGAGGAGAGGCTTCAGCTTGCACATGTTCTTGAAGCTCAGCTGAAGAGCCTCGAACCTGCAGATGGTGGTCTGGGAGAACACGTTGCCGTACAGGGTGCCCAAGGCCAAGCCCACGTCGGCCTGCGTAAAACCGAGCTTGATCCGCCTCTGCTTGAACTGTTTGGCGAAATGCTCCAAGTCATCAGACGTGGGGGTGTCCTCATCTGACTGGGAGTCGTGGCCGACTCCGTGATGCTGGTGATGGTGCCCGTGGTGATTGTGGTGTTGGTGGTGATGATGATCCAGTTCAGGGGACTCCCCGCGCACCAGCCCCGAGTGCATGAGGCTCTGTCCGGTGTGTGAGCTCAACATACCGTTGACTGTAAATCCCCCAGGCTGAGAATAAACCAGAGACTGCTGCTGCTGCTGCTGCTGCTGCTGCCCCCCCTCAGTGATGCTGATGTGCGCGGCGGAGGTGCCTCCCCAACTTCCCGCGTGCGTCTGATGCGCTCCCAGATGTGGGGACCTGTGGTGCAGAGCTGCGCCGGAGTGAAGGTCCTCCCTGCCCGTGTTTCTCTTTACCTCTTGGGGCTGGGGGCCGCTGGGGGGCCACGATGACCCGACCTCTGCAGCCGCCGCTGCGGCCGCAGCTGCCGCGGCGGCGGCGTGCGGCAGCGACGTCACCCACTGGTGGCTCAGCATGTGGCCGCCGTTGCTCGCCACCATGGCTGAATGCATGAAGTCGCTCTGAACCATCTTGATGGAGGGGTCCACCCTGTAGCCCCCCGACACGGTGGTGACGGCGGTGCCGCCCGGCTGCATGCCAGCAGCGCCTCTCCGGTCAGAGTGGACGAACGGAGCGGACAGGATCCTGCTGCTGGCGAGGTACGGACCCGAGGTGGCCGCTGCCATCCCCCAAGGCATAAATCTTCAGCCGGATGTCTCTCCTCTGCTGGTGGAGTCCACTTTTACTCTAATCCATACATCAAATCACTCCAAGTCAGGATGAGTGAAGTTTTTTTTTTTTTTTTTTGGTCTGATTACCAAAAATAATGGTTCCAAGTTACTCCATGAGCTACAAGTTTGAGTCAACAGCTGTTAACTTGTGTGGGGAAAAAAAGGTTCTATCTGCGCGTTCCTGTGCGCACAAGAAGAGTTTGAGAACTTTTTCCGTGTCCAGAAAACCGCGCTGTGCGTAATCCACTCAGGAGATGCGGAACGCGTTCTGACTCTCCTTTTTATGGGAACTCTTTAACTTTCAACGGGACCAGTTGATTTGTCTCTGCCGATCTGCTCCGACCCGGCGCGTCCTCTTTCACTGTGCCGCGGAGAGGAGCGGGAGTTCACGACGCGCCAGCAGGAGCGCTGCGTTTATTCCTCCTCCATCTCCGCCCAATGGCTGGAGCGCGTGTGCGCGGAGCCGCCGCTGATTGGACGGAGAGGATCCGTGCGCCTCACGGCTGCTGCTGCTCGGAGTTCCCACTGCAGGTAAAGAAGCATCACTTGTCTGTGTCTGTTAGCAAAATATCTCATGAAACACTCAACGGATTTTAATGAAACTATCAGAAAGTATTATGTCTACAACTTTATAACCTTTGGAGTTAAGCCGGTTCAAGATGGCTGCCAGAGCACATTAACTTTAGCAGACACACTGTTTTACAGATAATTGACTAAAAGCTTGTGTGGTAGTAGTTGAGAGTCATCCTCTACACGTACTGCAAGTGGTAGTGTGAGAACTGCTTGGGTTTAACACTTGAGTCACATTTGTCTGTCTGTTAGCAAAATATCTCATGAACCACTGGTCCGATCTAAATGCCACTCTCGGAAAGTACTCAGTGGAAATACTTCTACAAATGATTCAAGTTTGAAGTCAATCCAGATGAAGATGCTGCTCCATCGGATCACCCTTAGAAACACAAAATGGCTGTAGCTCATGCTGCAGATACTGGGCTAGATTAAGAAATGTTCCCAAAACATATTTCAAGCACAAACAGCTCTGAAGAGTTGTTGTGATGTCACATGAGATTAGTATAATGTTCTTGTCAAGGATTGACCAAAACAGCTAAATAAAGGGAGTGGTGGCGCAGAGGTTAGAGAACGGAAGATCGGTGGTTCAAATCCCGGTACAGACAACATGGAAAGTGGGTGGGAAAGGTCAAGCACCCACACCTGCCTCACTCTCATTTGCCCCATGCACTCTGAGCCCTTGAGCAAGGACCTTAACCCCCACCATCTGCTCCCTTGGGTGCCCTAGATGGCAGCTCTCTGCTCCACACAGAGGGCTGTGGTAGCTCAGTGGTTAGGTCACTGTGGGAGACCCCTGAAGAAGGGAGAAGCCGAAAGAAGAAGAAGAAGAAAGAAAAAAAGTCCCGAACAGATAAATCTCTTGTCAGTTTTCAACATATCATTTTAGCTTAAACCTCTTGCATGAAAGATAATGATTAACATGTAGATATTTTATTATAATTATTATTATTAATAATAATATTAATATTACTCCACCACCTTTTTATCTATTACAAAGACACCAATGGAATGTTATAAAAAGTCAATTATGTCACTTCTACGTTAGAGCTGATGATACTTGAATCAAAGCTCAGATTTTTAGGGGGTTTGAAAACACACACCACACACACACACACACACACACACACACACACACACACACACACAC